CCGTGTGTGTGTCGACCTCATAGTCGTCATCTGTATCCTGGTCTGTATAGACCTGGACGTTGGCCATAGGCCGATTCTCATTAAGAGGCGGTACAGGTTCTTGTGAAGCCATCTTAGAAGTACTCTCCCCACAGAAGGCGCCAAATGTTTTGGGTTTTTTGGATGTCCTGTGGGAGAGTTACAACACCAAGACTGGCCTCTAGACGCCTGTACCTGCAAAACAACGGAGACTCATGTGGGTGGGAGTTCCGCCTCCGACAATCAAGTTAGAACGCGTTCGAATAAAAAAAGTGCGGAATGTAAAGGGGATCAAGCTCCTCTTAGGAGAGAAGTGATCATCCGGCTATCTGAGATAGCCTCGAAATCCGAGCCTTAGCTCTCAAGAAGTGCAATTAAAGCTGGAGTTAATGCTCAGCAATTAATGTACACGTGTGTTTAATAATTTCTGAATGATGTTCCTCAAGGGGACCATCTCCCTTTTATAGGGACTTGAAATGTGTGTCCAGTACTAGGTTTTTAGAAACCTAGGACTGACTGGGCTTGCCTAGGTATTTGGGTCGTGGAAGGCCACTTTCCTAGTTGGCAATCTGTCTGCCACGTGTCGTGGCCTGATTGGTCCACCCTGGACCTCTCACAAGGTGACACGTGGCAGACTCTTGTTGGTCCATGTGGATGACACGTGGCAGAATTTAATTGGTCTCGTGGCGGGAAAAATCCCCTAATCACCTCTCAAGGATATTGGCTCCAATGGTCCACATATATCTGTGTGTACCAATTCTAATGGTGCTTTAGCTCTCCATGATAATCCCTTTTGGAATGGAAGTCTAGCTTGTTTTCCAATTGTGCATATTTCACAAACTTGTTTCAGGTCTTCAATGGTAGGTAATCCATGCACCATATTCTTTGATTGCAAAAGTATTAGGCCATTAAAATGCAAATGTCCAAAACGTTTATGCCATTTCCATGACTCATTCTCCATAACACCGTAGAAACACTTTTGAACCTTGGTGTTAAGTTGCAGTGGAAACATGCGATTCTTCGCCATTTTCAATTGAGCAATAATTCTTCCACTATTATCTTTTAGTTGAAGATTATCACCCTCCATATGAACAATAAATCCTTTTTTCAAAAGTTGTTCAATACTGAGAATGTTACTTTTCATATTAGGTACGTAATAAACATTAGAAATGAATTCTTCATTTCCATTCTTAAGAAAAAATTGTATTTTTCCTTTACCTTCAACTTGTAGTTTGGATGAATCTCCCAAACTTACATTACCTTGAATCTTCTCATCAAGGTCAATAAAAAATTCTTTTCTCCCACACATGTGGTTGCTAGCTCCAGAATCGAAAAACCACATGTCTTGCTAATTACTAGCTTCTTCATGCGCTAGTAACAATGTAGGACTTTCCTCATTGTTTCTTGATGATTCGGCGAAATTTAATCGATTGCCTTGATCCTTTTGTTTGCTCCAACACTCAGATGCATAATGTCCATATTTTTGACAATTATAGCATTGAATGTCATTTAATTTACTGCATTCGTTGAAACTCTTTACTCCTCTGTTTGACCCTCTCCCTTGGCCAAAACTTCTCTCATTACTTTGGTTGCGAGGTTGGTAGTTACCACGACCTCTTCCTCGTCCACGAAATCCACCTCGTTGATTTTCACCTCTTTGTTCATTTAATGACAACTTTGATTCAAGTGCTTGGTTCATCATTCTTCTGAATTCTTTGTTCATGTACTTGAAGGGATCCCATAAGTTCTTCTATTCATAATGAATCGATATCTTTTGATTCTTCTATCGCAGGTAATACATGGTTAAATTTTTTATTGCATGATCGAAGTACTTTCTCAACAATCTTTTTATCTTCAATCTTTTCTTCATTTAATTTTTGTTGGTTAACATTTGTAAGTAGGCAAGAAAAATATTCAGAGATTGACTCATTACTAGTCATTTTGATTTCCTCAAATTCACCTCGTAGTACTTGTAAGCGAATTTTTTGAGCTCTCTCGACTCCTTTAAATATAGTTGCAAGATTATCCCAAGCTTCCTTGCTTGTGGTTGCATTTGAGATTTTCACACATGTTTCGCGGTATAATCCTGCATAGATCAAAAATAATACCCTTTGATCTTTCTTCTGATTTTCTTTCAACTCATCTTTCTTCTCTTTATTTAATGCCGCTTTTGTTTCATCCGATGGATTTTCAAACCCATCATTAACAATTTCCCACAAATCTTGGGAACCAAATAATGCTTTCATTTTGATGCACCAATCTTCATATTGCTCTTTTGACAATTGGGGTAATTGTGGCTGAACAAAGTTTGTAGACATTTTGAGATATTACAAATAACGTGGCTCTGATACCAAATGTAGGAGTTATATCATTTTACAAATTGCTAACTCAAATAATAATAAGGATGATATGGAGGAATAAATGTGGGTTACAACCCGGGATAACAAAATATACTCTTCCTTAATATAATAAAACTTCTCCTTATATTCTTCTCCTTTTTAATTTTCAATCTGTCTCTATTACATTTTATTGAAAATAAAACATTGAATTTGTATCATCTCATTTGCTAATTATGTAGAGGATGAGAATTAACAATCATCATTATCCTCTCATATCTTATTTTAATATAAGCAATACAAAAATAGTTTTTTCTAAAATAAAGTTTGTGGTTTTCAACATAATTCCCAAAACAAATCTCTCTTCCTTTATTGATAATTTTGTTGCTTATTTATAAGCTTTACAAGGAAAAGATAAAATAGATATAATCCTAATCCTATTAGGTTTAGGAAAACCAAGTCTACTCTAACTTGAATTCCAAGTAACCCACATTAAACTAACTACCTAACTAAAATCTGATTTTTAAAATACTAATCAAAATAACACACGACTAATCAAAGAGTCCTGAGGTGCTTAAAACAAGAAAAACCCTTTTAAGTAAATGGTAAAAACTTATAAGCAAAAATCTATCTAAAGAAACATAAAAAACTATCAAGACCGAGTCAAAAAAAGGAAATTTTGGATGCTCCCACATCAATATGAAATTTATAACATATAATTTATGTAAATAAAATTCGTATAAACATGATCAAAACATGATCATAAACAGTAATTGAAATCTGAATTTTAATTAAATTAGAGAATTATGGAAGTAGATTTAAGAATATACTTGTGTAAGGTATATTGAGTATGATTTTAGGAAAAAGAGATAACTAAAATATAGTTTAGAGTTTTTTTTGTAAGGAAAATTATTGTTTAGAGTGATGCATTCATCCATTTAATAAACCACCAAATAAAACGAGTGATTCATTTAAAAAAATAGAGTAATACCAGTAATGATTATACTACTAATTACTAAACCAGACTTGTATACTCACATTCACACTCACAAAGGTTGAACTATAACTCTTTTGGGTGGGTGCCTGGGGTCATAGGTCACCAAAAGTTTCAAAAGCTCAACGGTAAGTAAGCTTGAAAAGTTAGCTTCATTTCATCACTTTCATATTTCAAACAAAAGCCTCTAAATCTTCATTCTCATATCGTTTTTTCAATTAAAATAAAACATAACACACAACAATCAGAACCTTTTAAAAAACAAAATGAAGTTGAAGAAAGCAATGAAGAAGCTCAAATTCTGGTCAAGCAAGAAGACAAAGATTGATACTTATTACGAGTCTTACCACAAACTACCTCCACAATATGACTTCTACCCATACATTTATCATTCTCCTCCTCCTCCTCAATCACCACCGATGCTGCCACCATCTCCAGATGGCTGTGAATGCCATTTCTGCCATCCTGCTGAGCCCTCGGCGCCACCCTTACCTTCATGGCTTGAACCACAGCTACAAGAGAGTTATAATTCTGATGATTATTTCAACTCGATCGACCCATTTTCAAACTCCAGCAAGAACCATGATCATTGTATTCGTATATCCCAAGAGAAAATGGTGATTACTACTGATACTAATACTAGTGGTGGTAACTTACAAGATCGAGATAAGAATGAAATACTCGATTCCGGTAGCTCAGAGTTACAGCCGAGCAGCGAAAACGATGTTGTAGTAGGATTGTTTGGATGTATAGTCGATGTGAGTGCTTTACTCTTTCGCTGCTTCATTCCCTGCTTAAACATCTCTCGACGTCAAAGCGCTGCTCCACTATTGATGGCTTCAGCTGATGTTAAGGAATAGTAGTAATGCATGTTTCATAATTATAAATTTATAATGCATAACCAATTTAAGGGTTTTTTTTTTTTTTTTTTTAAGTTCATATAGAGTATTACAATGTTGTAAAAAAAAAAAATATATATATATATATATATATATATATATATATATATATATATATATATATATATATATATATATATATATATATATATATATATACGTATTATAATAAACTCGTATAAATATTTTGGAATCTACGTATCGAAACCAACCTAATAAGATTCTACCTATGCAATATCTTATACTTTAAGACTCTTAAAAACACCACATTGATTTTACAATCCTTTAAAACTTTAATTTAAAAACCACCCATAATAGACATAAAATTAATTTTACTACTATCTCTTACTTTGATTCTGGTCAAGTTTCCGAGTGTAAGACCCATATAACGAATATTTTGACCATTTTAAAGTCTTTTCTCCTCAATTTGTTCCTTTAAGACTAATCCCTTGGTTTATATACTTTATTTACTTCCATAAACTAATCCCCATGGTTTATATACTAATTTGAAGATTTTGGATTTTAATGTTTTTGATCTTATACTTAAAAAAAAAATAAAAAATAAAAAAATAAAAAAAAAAAAGAGGAAATTTCAAATGTTGTTATAAATTAGAATAAAGGGAAAGTGATGAGAACATTTTGAATGAAAGAAATTAAGTGTTAAAAACTTATAGAAATGTAGTTTTCAACAACAATAAAAAAAACCACCACTGGTTTCACATAAGATTGCTGAAACAAAAAGAAAAGCTCAAAAGGATAAATCCTGAGTCTTGATGTTGTTACGATAGTGACTGGAAGATGAGCGTTATGATGCACAACAAAAGGAAGAAAATTTGCAAAAACGGTACAATAACAGATTCCATTCACCTTGAGGATAGAATATACATTATCAAGTTTAGTATTGGTACAAATTAAAAATTAAAAATCTAACAAAATTGATTAACTAGATTCTGGTAGGCTATGGATCATCAAATAAGTTAACAGAAGCACCTCTTAATCGACTCTAGTCTGTAGGTGTTGCATTATAATTATTGCATTACTTGGAGCTGTCGTACATGTTGGAGTAGCTTTTTCCATCTGAAATTCAAGCTCTCGACTTGACTTCTGGGCTGTAGCCAAGGCGTAGTGGCTTCTTTTTCATGCGCCTAATATAAAATGTTGGAAATGTCATGTCAACTGCATTGGGCTCAATCTATGTAGTAATCTTCAAGTTTGTGGACAGATCCATAAATTGAGCATGAATTTTACAAAAAATCTCACCAAGCAAACGAAGACAAATATGGTTCAGAGATTATAAGTATAATGATGCAGCAAAGACAATATCCCTTTTAATCATGGAGACAGCGTCTTCAAACTTAGATTCAAGCTCTATTTCCCCAATAGATTTAGCTGCGAGAATGAGTTGCTGAAGGACTTCTTCCAATCTCCTAATAGCCCTGATCAAACTTCCCTCAAAAACCTGTGTAATTTCCATGATCTCATAGAATTTGGATCCTTTAGCCCAGGCATAGACTGCCTCCATTATATCAGGCCGGAATGAGCTCACAAAATTCTCAACATCAATTTGGACCTATCGTTAAAAAAGAAGAATGATGTCAAATAGCCAAGTACAAAGAGGAATTTTTGGTCAGTACCAAAATAAACAAAGCCATCATATATGTGGATCAGAAAGTTTCTCTTCAAAATTTAAAGCTTCTCTTCAAATTTAAGATGGGAAATTTAATTTCATTTTTCAGTGCATGTTTTATTGCCTAATATGTTTCTTCTTTGTCTTGATTTCCCACAAAATTTCAAGGAAACCCGTATAAAAAATGAAATGGACACAAATAAACATTGAGCTAATTTGGCTGAAATGCAATTCATGATAATCAGTCCACTTATACAACATCATTCAATTGCCCACACAGTCCCACGCTTGACATTGTGTGGTATTACCTGTTTTTCTTAAAGCTATTAACATACACTGTTTGAACACATAAAGGCAAATGGAATGTGAGTGATGTGATATGGTGAGTGTAGGAAAAAGAGATGAAGAAGATTTAAAAATGTGAGTGGGTGGATCCGTGGATGAGTGTAGGAAAAAGGGGTTTGAAAAAATGGAAAAAAGGTGAAAGTGTTCACAAATTTCAGAAACGGGATAAAACAGAAAGTGTTAATAGCCTATAGAAACAGAAGTGTTATGAGCACTAAGAATCTTTGCACACAAAGTAGGCACAACCAAAGGTTTGAGAAAAGAAAATCTGACTGCAACATAATCTTTTGAACATCGCAGCTACAAAATTTTAGCCAGGCTACATTTTCATTTTGGCACTTTCAACAATGTCACAAGAATATGAATTTAATAACTAAAAACCTAAAACATTTTTAATGATTACTGTAGCAACTAGGAAGAGCCAGGCAATTTAATTCTACACTGTCCAAGACAGGTGGCCTTAAACACCCAGCAAATGCTCCCAAACATTAAGACAAAACCAACTACAAGCCTTCGCATAACGTATCATGGGCATTGGCAATCCCATTGTCATCAAATAAGGAAACCCATTTGAGGATTAGTTTGAGGTGAGAGGCAGGTAGGTGGATGGAAAACAGGAATGTCCAAATGGAAAACACTTCTCTCTCACTTCCAATTTATCAATTTCTTCTCACTAATCCAGTAATCCTTAAAAGGAAATTTTTTTATTTGACTACCAAAAAATAATTAATTACATTAGTCACTTGAGCAAGTGCTCTAAGGGTTTTGCTCTTCTTATCAGATAAAACAAGCAAATTATCAACCAAATCACTTAATAGCAATTCAGAAAAGCAAGTTCAAAGAAAATCAATTCAAGGAAAAAAAAAATTCAGAATAGTTCAGTAAAAATCAATACTCCAAAATTCCTCACATTATAATAATATTTACTTGATTCACAATTTATTCTGCTTGAACCTATCATCTATTCAACCTTTAAATTTATCAACAAACCTACTATCACATGTTAGGGTTACTAGTTTGTCATCAAATTGGTATTCCTTACACGTGAAAGTAGGTTTCAATTTGTTCGATGCTGAACAAATTAACTAAATGAGTTAAGTTCAAAAATACATCAGATTTGATAATTTGGTAATTAAAATAGGCAAAATTACACTCATTGACACAAACTTTGGGGAGTTTTGCAATTGTTGACAGCAACTTATACCACTTGTTAGACTGACACCAACTTGTTAAAAAAAGAATAATAATAACATTAAATCATTTTAAGCATTTTATAAATGAATTAAGTAGTATGAAATCAGTAATTTATTTTTAATTACTGCTTAATTTATTTATTTTTGTAAATTCCCAAATTAAAACATGAAACGAACCCCAAAACTCTTTCTCTCTCCTCGTTCTTCAATCATCTTCTCTGCCAGTGCCAACTCTTCCTTATCTTCATCATCTTCTCCCACAAATAAGTACTACTTGGAAGTGAAGGAATGATGTGAAACATCTCTATGGATGTCCAAATTGATGTGAATTTTTTAAAATGGTACGACATTGATAATTCGTGATATAGAGGTTTATCAATCGTTTGAAAAAATGAGAACAAAGATCTGAAAATGGAGATACTGATTAAACAAGATTATGGCAGCTTTAATTTCCGTATGAAAGTTATCATTGTAAGATTTTGGAAGAGGAACTAAAACCATTGACACCAAATTAAGCTTCATGAAATTGTCTCCTTTTGCAAAAAATTATCAACCATTGATACCAAATTTTAAGGAAAGATGATTAAGGGGAAAGTAAGTAGAAATGAGTGAAACAGGAAAAAAAAAAAAAAAAAAAAAAAAAAAAAGAGATGAGAAATACTTCAGAAAGGGGAGAGAGAAGAATTGGGTTCTATTTTACTTTTATTAATTTGGTTTTTTTAAAAAAAAAAAATAACTCATGAAAATAAATTACAATTTCATAATTCATTTATGAATGCTTAAGATGATTTATATAAAGAAAACTTCAACTATGTAGCAAGTGGGCCCACTTAATATCATTAATGTTATTTTTGTACCTTTTGGAACAAGTTTGTGTCAATCTAACAAGTGATATAAGTTGATGTCAATTAATGTGAAACCCCCCAAAGTTGGTGTCAATGAATGTAATTTTGCCATTAAAATATTCTAATTTAAACACCACTGATTTTGTAACATGTATAAGTATAATCTATTTTTGGTTAGTACGAAAATATAGATACTTTCAATAACTATCATCAATATTGTTCTTTTCCTTTCATATCCAAACAGAATTTAAGATGTGATTATTTACAGGTTATATATACTTTTATTTCTATATTACCTATAATAATAATAAAGTTCAAAAGAACAAGGGCCAAAGTGGAGAGGAATAGCTTCAACAACCAATGATAATGATAATGCAGCTTGTATTGGTTTTTACCCACGCGTGTGTGTGTGTGTGTAAGAGAGAGAGAGAGAGAGAGAGAGAGAGAGAGAGAGAGAGAGAAGAGGGGGGGGATGCTAAAAGCAAAGAAAACATGATTGTTAAGCTAGCTACCTTGCACTCAAGCTGGACTTTGGCAACCCTCCTAGCTGTATCTTGTAACTGTACAAAGAGCAGCTCAAGTTCTTCTCTAGGTTTTTGAGCATCGTGAAGTTTTTCTTGCCATACAAGACATGATAAAAGGGCCACCATATCTTCTAACTTTATGTCTTTAAAAATGCCACTGAACATAAGCTCTGTTAGTGTCAACTCATCAGCACTACTAATTTCAGAGGCTACCTTCCCCTTCAACTCCACAACATCTTCATTGGTAACATACCTGCAAGAGAGGGGGTGGGGGGAGGAGTAACATCATTAAATGCAACAACCAAATTTGTGGCCTCTAGAGATCAGGTAAGCATATTGAACATGAAGAGCATTTCAGACTAACCTATTCGTAACACAAACAGAACAAAACATTGTCAGATAGTCAGCATCAAATAAGATTATATCATAATTTATTGTAAAGCTAGATACTTATATTTTATAGGTTAAAATTTGAAGCTCCTGTATCATGGCTGGAATGTTTATGTTTAGAGACTAGAAAGACAGCAAATCATCTGAAGACACCATTGATAGGTTATGGTAACCTTAGTGACATGCATGTATTCTAGTAAGAGACAAGGAGGTTGATGTCTAACCGTAGAGAAGAAATTTTCTTTCTTGATGCTAGGGAAAATCAAGTTTGAAGGGCAAATATTATTAACGTATTAAAAACAGCGAGAATATAATTTTTCACAAAAGCACTAATGAGCTAGACCAATAAAGACAAAAAAATGTTACCCAAGCCGCCTCAAAACTCGTTTCCTTGCTTTGAGCTCATCTTTGAATGCTAATGCAGTAGACGTCCTCATTTGTCTTTTAATAGACTTTATCTTGGCAGCAAGTTCTTGCTTCTTATGCAACGTTTTAAGTTTCTCCTTAATCAAAGGAGATTTTGCCACTTCATGCTTGTCAAACAGACTTTCCAATGCTTCAATTCTGCGAACAGCCTTTCTGTATGAGCTGCTTTGAACCTGAAGGATATACATAAATTGAAGTAAGCTGATAGGAAGTAGCAAAAGGGATGAAATCTCAATTAGTCTACCTTCATATCTTCTTCAGGATCTAGCAAAGGAACTCCATCCTTAGAAAACCTGGACAGAACTTCTGATACTTTCTTCAAAGTGTTTTCTCGAGCCTCTAATGGCAAAAGATCCTTGGACATAATCACACGTATGCTACTCACATTGTAAACCTGGTGTAGTCGGTCCATTAGAATTCAAGCTTTAACAGTTGGAGTGCTCCAAAAATTAAACTGGGGGTGCTTGTAACAAGTTAACTATGTCTCAAAACGAGTATAGTAGATTTGCTAAAGTAAAAAGTATTTACAGTCATGAAAGAAAACATATACAGGAAAATCTAATAAACAAAAGGTGATTTTACCTGAGAAAGTGGAACAGACACTACAATAGGCTCTCCTGAATCCTTCAGTGGAACAATTTTAGTAGTTTTCTTTGCTCCATCCTCTCTGCTCACCATGCATTTTGCAAGAACATCTACAGTGTAGCGTGCATCCTCTGGCTTTTTACTGCCTTCATCTGACGAATATTATAAACATAAGCAAACAAGCTACTAATAAAATAGAAACTGGTGACTTACAGACTAGATCATACTTAACGGATACAGAAAAGGATAAAGAGATGATACAAACACAAGAGAAAGCCATCCCAAAAATATCTATTAAATTACTTGAAAACACTTCAAGACACTTTTGTCACCTATAATCCCCCACAAATTTTTAAAACATTAAAAAATTGTTTGCTACTTTCTTTTCTTTTACTTTGCGTGTTTGTTTAAAAAAGTTATTTCATGTAAAGATATTAGCTATAAAAGATATCATCAAGTGTCCCACATTCATAAAAGTATATTAAAAATAAAAACAAAGTACACGTCATTTATGGTATCAAAAATATATTGGAGTGCGCAGATGAGTGTCACCCACCATCAGAAACACTCTTAATCCTTCGAAAATTTATAATGACACCCCAAGTCACATTGTCCTCAATGGAGAAAGATGGAAGATCTTCATCAGTTCTTGTGCATTCAATGCATACAAGTCTTCCAGGCTGCAAGAAAGGTAAGCAATACTTGGGAGAAAAAACAATATCACGCACATCTTTCTTTATAGTTTTGTATTGCTCGAATAAAGAGTAATAATTCTTCAAGCTTTCTTCCTCATCAATAATAATTGAATCCCTCTCCTCTTTAAGCTGTTTAGCTTGCCTCTGAAGAGAAATGAAGTCAAAAACTAGAAAGCAGCATGCATACTGAAAAAAAAAGTTCCTCAGACTAAAAAAAATTCCAGGATGTCAATACTAACCTCCAAATCAGGAATGGCACGATCAGCTTGAAACTGATAGAATGAGTCACGGAGCAAATTTTCAGGGTTACCATCTTCACACCGCAATTGATTCAAAAGCATGTTGTAGCTCAGATGAAAGGCACTTCATACAAAGAAATTGGTGTCAGACAATATTTGCAGGACAAACATTTCATGAATAATTATCCGGCATATACAGACCTTGGCAATCCAAATGAATTATGATTTTTGTGATACTATTGGTACTTTGATAGATAAATAAAAAGACACACTATGTCAGCTCAAAATGCAGTGAGGTCGGTAGATTATTCTCTCCACATAACAATAACTCAAAGTACCACCACCACAAAAGCAATATAGATGGATACCTGTTCAAACTATCAGCATTCCCTTTAAGCATCATCTTGGCAGTTGAAGGTTCAAGCTTCTCATCCACCATTAGAATACATATTCCACGCTCATCAATACCTCGCCGACCAGCACGACCGCTCATTTGTATATACTCTCCACTAGAAATCCATCGAAACTTATCTCCATCGAACTTACGGACATTTGTAAACACAACGGTCTTTGCAGGCATGTTCAAACCAATGCTAAAGGTCTCTGTTGCAAACAAGCACTGAAGAAAATTCATTCAATTTGGCATTCTCGCATAATAATCATTCTTCAAGACTCATTAACATTAAATAAAAAGTAGCATGTACAAATGGTGTACTCAAAGTTGATCAAACATGTAAAGAAATTCTATATTCCCTCTGTATTTAATTAATTGCTCCACTTTTCTGGACACGGAGTTTTAAGAGGAATAGTAGAAAAACATTAATTTATGATTGAAGTGAGGTTTGAAGAATAAAAAAATCTGAAAAAGCAAAAGTAGGTAACAGGGTATAAGTGGGGAGGAGAGAGAATATGAAAAATATTAAAATATGATGTGAAGGGACCACTAGTGGGGAGGAAAATGGTAAAATATTGTTAAAAGTTTCCAAAACAAAGGAAACGAAGCAATTATTTGAATACGGCCGCAAACAGAAAGTGGAGCAACTAATTAAATCGGAGGGAGTACATACTAATATCCAATTTGAGTTCAAAAATCTTAACACTCGTAGAGTTCTCTTAAAAACCCTTATAGGATCTTTTAGACAATATTTACACAAGTAATCACCAAGTTCAACATAACAACAATAGCCCATTAGACTCTACATGATCACAATTCATAAATTGCATGATGTGTGCCATTTTACCTTGATAAGCCCTTCTTGAAATAGAATTTCAATTACTTCCTTCAGAATTGGAAGCAAGCCAGAATGGTGAACTCCTATCCCACGTTTTAAGAGAGGTAACAGATTTGTAACCTACACAACATCAAGAACACAAGAGTTACACAACAGTTTAAAGCACGAGTATTACAAATTAAAAATAATGACAAAACATAGCAGTGGTGTGGGGAAGAAGTGTATTTGGGAAAGTTAGCCACTTGTATAGTATTTCCACCCCTTTTTTTTATCGCAACGTTGGGGATATCGCGCTTGCCAATGCAATTTACAACTTAAATATCATAAGTTGTATTGTAATAAAAATTATAAAAAGTTTATATTATGAAAATGTATTTCGAGACGAATCTAACAAGATCCTACATGACTATTTTTTCCACCATATAAATCACAAAAGACGATCAAAGGAGTGTGTGCGATAGTGTAAAACTCCAAATGTTGCGATTAAAAGTACTGAGGAAGTATATGATATCCCTCATCATACAAAATAGACCTCGCACACTGCATTCGAGAAAGAAAAATGCTATTGCATGTATTAAAGACTTAGTTTACATAAAGTATCCTCCTCACATAGACATGTTAAACACATTTATTGGTTCAGGTTTGGGCTGGTCAATCTAAATTTATGGGCTATATGTTCATTTCTATACCATGGTTTAGTTGGATTCAGAAGTTTATCAATAAGATTCTGTCGGTATTTCTTGACCAAGTCAAATCAAGTTCTAGGGCTAGGTTCAAATTTTACAATATTTTCCAAAAAATAAAAAGGGGAGGGGGGGATTGAACTGATTCAGAAGCTTTATATTCAGGTTTTGATTCCAATCTAAGATTAGCAAGTTGAAGTTTTTCCAATTCACTTCATGCATCAAAGTTGCCAGATTGAAGCCTCAAATGTATCCTCTAAAGCTGGATGTCTACCTCTTGTTCTTGTTGAACACTTGAAGATTGTCCCAAATAATTTTGATAAAAAATGCTCAACCACAAGGCTTAGCAACCAATGTAACCAAATATTAGCAAGACTAGAGGGGCAAACTAAGGCACAATTCTTCTTAATTTAAAACTAATAAAGTAATGAGCAACAGTAACACTAGCTTTAGTAAAGCAGAAAACAGCAATCGAATATTAAAGACATAAAAGAAAGCTTCAAAATCTTGCCTAATGCACACCTTTGCTTAAGCAAATTGAGGTACCCAAGGGATGATCACCCAATGAGCAGGAAAGATTTTAAACCTATGTTCAAGATCATTTAATGAACATCTTTCCTTAGTCTAACGATTACCATCTAACAGTTTTGAACACAATTTATACAGATTTTCCCTCTTCTAACTCCCACTGAAGAAGTATAATACATTCAAGTAAATGCAAAAAACACATTCACAATTGCAGAATAACTCATTTTAAATCAGTTAGATGTGCACATGGTGATAATAGATGTCTGAAGCTTAGGCATAGGGTGAAAGGCGGATGGACAAGACTAGACCTCATAAAGCATACATCTATTATCGAAATTTTTTTTATCCTTGCATTAATTCAGAGGAGAAAGTAGTTTCTTCATATTTAGGAATCACAATGCCATGTTTTCATATTATTAATTTAAGAAGAAAAAAAAATCGTTACGAGATTAGAGCCCAAACAATATAAGAGATAAGTCACGCTCTTGCAAAAAAGAGCAACTCAAAACACAAATAGATACTTAGTTTTTTGTTCATTTTTCTCTCAAAGACGAGTACTCTTTAAAGACTCAGAAGTACTATATAAAGAATTGAAATAATTAAACAGCAGATATGCAGTAACCTGAGGGAGCTTCTTGTCATCATCAGACAGCATGTCCATCGCACTCCAGAAAATAGGTTCTATGTTCGCCTTTTCATCGTCCCCATTCAAATCCATCTTTGCCATCTAAAAGACAACAAAAGAGCAAAGACTGAAGAACACAAATAGATAAGTAAAGTGAAAACAGAACAGTGATGTTATTCTTGCATGACAGAAATAGAAGAGTATCTCTAGCATTAAAATAGTAAAAGCAACAATTAGCACAAAATCAATAACCAGTTAAAAACTATAGCATAAACACATGTTTGAAATTTCAATAAATCCAAAGCCGCCAATAATGTTTCTAGGTAGCAAACAGAGACATAAAAAGAGGTCATAAGTTTTGACAAAAGTGACCCAACATGCCCAAGCTAAACGTAGCAAGTTAACATAACATCAAAATATATAAAAGGTAGTATTTTAAATTAGAATCTACAAGCAGTCAAGTTCAATCTCAATATACTGAAGAGGGTGATAACTAGTACGGCTTCCTTACCTGCATGGCGAGAAATTCACACTCTCTTTTGCTGAAGCTAAACAATATAACAGGATCATACTGACGCTGTATAAGCATTTTCACCAGCTTGAAGATATCACTTTCTTCTCCCAACTTACCAACAACCACACCTTTTTGCCACTTCCCATTCTCTCTCTTCTTTTCACCCTCAGCAGCAGGGGCAAGAGCATTCAAGGCTTTCTGGAAACTATCTTCACGAAATTTGGCCTTCTCATCCACCACCAAGTACAGGCCTTTTCCACCTGAAGGAAATATATAATGTTGAAGCGGTGTTGGCCGATAATCTGTATATACAATATGACATGGTTGCTGGTGAACCTGCATCAGCAATACTACATTCAGCCATCGTGAAGTAATTGTGGAAGTTCAACATCACAAGGATTTTTTAGTGAACTATACTATGTAGCATAATCACATTTAGCTATAGCTCAGATATTCAATCACATAGTAGACTTTCATTACTCTACAAAAAAGTGGCTCTAAGAAGTCCAGACCAAGACATTATTGAGTATGTAGATGAATGTATAAGACGAAGATAAAAACATAAATCCTTTTAGATTTGTGAAAAGAATTTTTCAACTTCGATTCAAATTGGAGAGAGTATCCAGAGTGATAGAAGTTTAACAAATGCAGTAAATATTCAAAGCTCTTGATGTTTCGTTTAAATAATAGGATTTTTTTTTACTTTTACCGCCTTACAAAACCCGGTTTTGGATTTAATTACCTTGAATAATTTTATTTTTACATTTTAGCACCTTTAAAAAAAAATTATTTTATTTTCCCACCATTTAACAGATTCCATTCTTGAATCCATTGGTGGCAAATCAAAATACATTTTTTTAAGGTGGTAAGTCACGAATTTGATATTAAAATTGAACTATATAAATATTGTTTTGTATTAAACGACCTCCGTCATCCATGAATCCATTAACTGGTGGCAAAACCATAGTAAAAAAATACTTTAAGCTGGTAAAATACACAAATTAATATATAACAGCATATATCAATTTAGTCTCCATGAAATATCACTAATGACCCAATATCCTATCTGACCCAAAAAAAAAATTGTGCAATAGGAAGCTAGTAACTAGGGTTTAATGTTAGTATCCGTAGCAAGAGAGAAACTGATCATATATATAAGCCTAAATCCTTGTGCAATATGATATAAAACATACCAAAATTGAGGAATAATACCATACCACATTCACATAGGACACTAAGACTTAACACAAAAATAATCGAGGATCACATAGAAATCCATCAAAATACAGGCAGATATTTCACCTTAGCAACCCAATCTGCAAACTCCTTAGCGTTAGGTACAGTTGCTGATAGGAAGACAAACCGAGAGTTCTTTGGAGCCATCACTATGCTCTCTTCCCATACCACACCTCGTTCCTTATCACGCATATAGTGAACCTCATCAAATATTGCCCATGCAACCTCTCTTGCAATTTCAGATCCTCTATACTGCATACTTCGCCAGATTTCTGTTGTCATCACCTGCACATTGACGTAATTTAGAAACCTAAAATAAAATATTATAGACAACAAGCATACAACTGCCACACGTAGCCAACAACAACTTACCAAGCAAGAAGCATTAGGATCAATGGTGACATCTCCTGTCATTAAACCAACATCTGAAAATTCTTCTTTGAATTCTCGATATTTCTGGTTGCTAAGAGCCTTGATAGGGGAAGTATATATGACTCTTTGCTTGTTCCGCAACGACATAGCAATTGCATATGAAGCCACCACTGTTTTTCCAGCTGAGGTATGAGCTGACACCTAATATCAAGAATAAGTTAATACGCTGCAACTCAAATTTTAACAGAAAACAATCATTACAGAAATAAGGGGAACCTCCACGGCTCCACCTAAAGTAGCAAGTATAATACCAACAAGCAGTCATAATACCAGTGGAAGATTAAAATTTCAACGGAAATTCACCCGGAAAAAAAATGTCCACCTATTCTGAGATGCAATTAAGCATTTATCAAATTTTTAAAGCAGCACACCCTCTGTCTCAGATCAAATATTTTGTCCTCCTTTCCATTTTAATTGAACAAATTTGTCTCTTTTTTTTTTTTTATCAATGCTTATAATACACTGTTCTACTAAAATTATTCTTATTAGTTTGTTCCACTGTTTTAAGTGTGTTTAAAATCAGCTAACATTAATATATAGAAATGAAAGGAGAGATAAAGGACCTCCAATTCGAATAAGTGACGAAGAAAGATAAAAACAACTATTACAAAGGGATTATCATGGGATGATCTTACAAAGGGGGCATTTTTGTTCACAAAATGGTATGAGTTAGGAATCAAGTATGAAATAAAGATGGTAGGGAGTTGTAACTTGATAATTAATACTATGCATTTGGTTATGAATGAGCATTCCTCTTTCATTTGATACCTAAAGTTATGGTATAGCTCCCCTCGAAAGTGTCTAAACCCCATGCCTAGTGGGTTTGAGGTATGGATTTGAAAATTGGAATTTCCTTAAACAAACACTAGGTATGGGTTTCACCTATTCTAAACCCATACCCCGTACCAAAATTATTTGAACCAAGCACCCCCTAAGTGTACTGGATTAGATTAAAAAGTTACATAACATATTCCTCATCAGCCTAAAGATCATCAACAGCCTTCCTATTTGTCGAAAATTTCAAACCTTGTGAACATTAATTCTGAAAGGATAAGAATGCAATTGTGTAGTATCAATACTTGTTTCTTTCTACATAAGAAGTTAAGATAATTTTTTGCAATGTGGTAAGCTATGCATTGCCTCTACACCCACCCTCTGACAAATTGATGTTTTACTAAACATCCTTAAACTTTTTGATCCCCATCCGCCCTTTTATACATCTGACCTTGCTTATTGCTTTGATAAATTGAATTATATAACTCCAAAAGGGTATGTATATGATCTATGGATGACATTAACACCCCTTTGTAGATATTTTACTCCTTAATCTATATACTATGTATATAGGAATTTCAATTTATACAACAATAATAAACTACATATATGCTCCAAATATCTAAACCTTAACAAAGTACTATGTCACAATCAACAGGAGAGTGTAAGTTTGAAAACTCACTCTAATGAAGCACTTGATAGTATACTATCAAATTATCACTATAACATAGTCATAAAAATCAAACGAACATTTTACAAATAACCCAGAAAAATTCAGCAAAATCCCAGAAAAATTCAGCAAAAACCCTTACCACAACAGACTCGCAATTTTCAAGGCACTTGATAGCTTCAGACTGAAAAGGGTCAAGGGAGAAGGGGAATTCCTTAGCAGGGGTAGAGGTTGAAGAGTTGGTAGAAGGAGGGACATAGCCTTGAGGGTATGAAACGTCATGGAAGCAAGCAATAGTGTTGTTATCTTCTCTCATCATTTTAAGAGGTGGTGGTTTAGACCCCATTGTTGGGTTTTCTCCATCTATTGATTTCCTCTTAGCAGAGCCCATTGAGTTTGTTATGGCGGCACACAGAAGAGAGGGTGGAGAATGGAGGCGCCGAGTTATGGGTGCTGCGGCTGTTTCAGGTTGGACCCAATTTGTTTGTCAATCAAAGGGTATTTGGGAATTGGGATGACACATATCTCTTCGTTAAAATATTTCCGCCATATTCTTTTTTTTTTTTTTTCGCAGCAATTTTTGTGTGCGGCTAGCCACACCGTCAGATGACACATCAAATAACCCTTGATCGATGAGTAACCTTTAACCGAGTAACCCTTAATCGACCAAGTAATCTATGACCGACTTAGTAATCCCTAACTGATTAAGTAACCCCTAACCGAGTGAGTAACCCCTATAGCTCTAACAAAGTAACTCCCACAATGGTTGGTCACACGATGGCCAGCCACATATAAAATTTTGTGTTTTTTTCGTCTTTGATGAATTGCAAAAAGATTTATTTATCGAGTAAGCATAGTCCACCACCTGGTATAGGGTTCCCTTGCCCAATACCTCAATAAAATAATATTTTTTGCAAATTAAAAAAAGGCAAATGTTTATAGAAAAGGTAAAAGGGATAAGGGTAGGGTAAAAAAAAATAGAACCAGGTGGTAAGTTTATTTCCCCTTTCCCGCAAAAAAATCTCCTGGCGCCGGAGTGTAAAAGGGGAGAGAGAAATTACGAGGAAACCTGATGCGGTGAACAATCTTGTTAAAACTCCGGCAAAAACTTCCCGAAGCGGCGGTTGAATTCGAAATCAAGTATAGTGAAGTGGGAATTTTGTTTGGCTAGAAGATTTTAGATAAATTAGGGTTTGTAAAATAATTAAGTCATTGTTTGTTGTTTGGTAGGAAGTATTGTCAATGGAGGTTGGTAAAGGTTCTACGAAAAATTGGGAAGAACGCGAGTTGCAGCATGAAGTTGAAATTGCGAGTCGGGTTTGAAAGAATTGAAGTTGAGGTATGTTGTTTATTTATGAGTAATTGATGGAGATGTTCCTGTATGAATTGAATTGGAAAGATTTATTTAGTGGATTTTAGCTTTTGATGGTAGTATTATTGTATTTTAGCATTAGTATATAATTAATTTTGGTAGTACTATATTTGATTGATTCATGCTATATTAATGAGTTTGGGTAATGGTTTGATGATTGTGAGTTTACTCTTCCTCTTAATTGATGTAAAAAAGACTTTTTAGGTTTTATTGTCTTAATTCTTGACATCTACATTTGTCAAGCCATTCTTGACATATACATCAACTGCAAGATTTAAATCTGGATTTTGTTATACTAGTCAATTTTCAATTTTTTATTCTACATAATTATATTTTTATTTATATTGTTTTATGTGGTGGTGTGTAGAAATTCCAATGTCTATCAAATGAAATGAGAATGAAGCAAGGGGTATAATATAGTGTAGAGTGTGGATGCTCAGTGTCTTATTTTCCTGGACAGTAGCAAAGTGCGCAATTCTTACTATTTGTAGCTAAAAAAAAGGCATTTGGGTATAGTTGTTTAAGTTGAGGATTGAAATTTGTATGATTAGTTTTAATTGGTAGGAAAATTGCAGAAAACCTAACAAGTTGTTAATTATCTTGCCATTAGAATGTTGCACTATGTTAGGTAGTACTTGGATACAAGGATTTAATTTTAACTAGTATTTTTAATCGCTCTATCAATCCGAGTTATGGAGGTTCTTAATTTGTTTGATGTAGTGGGGAATCACTAGGAATAGTGAAAATACGAAGTTATCTTGGCCTACTGAGATAATCTATGAGCCTCATAATGCTATTAAGGTAAGAGAGAATGTTAATGTTACGATTCAAATGAAGTTTCATGAGGCAAAAGGATGCAGCGTAGTATTAATTGAAGCATGATCATGTTTTTTTTTTTTTATAATGCGTAGTTGCCTTTTGTTTCATGTTTTTGCATAATTTTTTTTAATATAAAATGGTTTCCTTGATATATAATAAGTGCTAAATTTCTCCTAGACACAAATGTTGATGCAAATTTTTTACCAATATTATCTTTAATTACCCATAAGTATAAATTAGAATAATTGAAAATCAATAATCACAAACATTAGTCAAAGTAGGTCAAATGAATAACACAAGCGGGATATTATTACGTAGTATATTAAGTTAATTTCCACCAAATATAAGAAACTTTGAGGAAAATCGTTCATACAAATGTGTTCCACATTATAAGTGGTTTCCCATTGAGCAACGCAATGAGCAACTACAATACCCCCCACCACTACTAAAATCCGGATAAATAACAACAGTTATTCTACGACAGCTAGCAAAACTGTCGTAATTTTTTTATTCTACGACGGTTTTTTAGTTGTCAATATTACAATGGTTTTTTAAACCGTCGTTGAGTTACGACAATTTTTAGCCAGTAAAACTGTCACAATAGACATTAAAAATAATTATAAAAAATTAAATATTTACGACAGCTATAAATGTCGTAAAATTACGACGGTTTTTAAAACTATCGCAATTTGCAACAGTTTTTGGCTGTCGTTGAGTATTTTTTTTTATAAATGAATGGCATTTAATACTCAAATCAACAAGCCCACACCAAACCCTAAATCAATATTCCGCCGTTTCTCCTCCTTTTCTGTTTCTCTCTAGGGCCGTTTCAGAAATTTCGGTGGCCCGGGGCGAAGACATAAATTGGGGCCCTAATTCACATATAATATTTTGAAATAAAATAAAAATTGGGTAGGCAAAAAAATACATATTTTATTACGCATAATAATCTTTAAAAACATCAAATTTCATATACATACAACATTGAAATCAAAGCCTAAGCGTTCATATGAAAATATTTCTACGAGCCTTTCTAGATGCAAAGTCACTAATAATAGTTTCTACATTAATATGTTCTAAAATATTTTTCTCAATACATAAAGTAGCTAGACCATTCAACCTTTCTTGTGACATTAAAGATCTCAAGTAGGTCTTTAGTAATTTTAACTTTGAAAAACTTCTTTCAGCAAACGCAACTGTCACCGGCATAGTTAATAGGATTCGATAGGCAATAGAAACATTTGGATAACAATTTGCAACTTTGACAAATTCAAGGATTTCAAATGCTGACATCAAATCATTTGGCAAAGTCATTTGTAACACTTTCAATTCAGAAAAAAGATCATCTGCATCAACATCCGAAAAATTATTATGAGTAAAGGTAGTCATAAAGCTTGTGCAAGATTTTCTTAAATCGTCATTATCCAATGATTTCAACCTTTTTGCATCGAATAAAAAAACCAAAAATGTTATCAAATACCTCCAACTGCTCAAATCTATCTTTCAAAGAAGCTATTTCAATATCAATATCCACCAAACAATAATTGACTCTAAAAGATTCCTCGGGTGATTGTATTTCCTCATCATTATCGTCATTCTCATTCTTAGTATTTAAACTAGATTCAAACCCTTCAATTCTATATTTCTCAAAATATGTGATCATACCTTGCACTTCATTCATGACAACTCCAATACTCATGCATTTAGATTGAAACTTTTTACTCACAATGTTAATAGCAAATAAAATGCCATACCAAATTACCATGCCAAGTAAAAATCCAAAACTTGCAAGAGAATTAGCCAAACTTTCGGCTTCACTTTTTGTTTTAGCAATATTAGCATCATCACCACTAGAATTATACAATTCCAACAAAGCTAATCTAATTTGAGGAGATTGAAACCTTATAGCTTTAACACTCTTAATTCGACTCTCCCATCTAGTATTGCACAAAGATTTAACAATTAAACTCGGGACATTGTTAACTAAAATCTTCCACCTATTAGTGGAATGTGCAAATAATGTGTATATACGTTGTACAATTCCTAAAAAAGAAATAGCTTTAACACAAGAATGTGCCATATCAGAAAGAGTGAGATTAAGACTATGACAAACACATGGCATATATAAAGCCCTTGGATTAATTTCAAGCAATCTCTTTTGAACCCCTTGGTGTTTCCCTTTCATATTAGAGTCATTGTCATAACCTTGCCCCCTTACATCATCAATATCCAAATCAAGGGACTTACATAAATCTAACAATACATTAAAAAGTCCCAAACCAGAAGTATCATCTACTTTTAAGAATTCTAAAAAAAACTCTTCTATCTTGATTTTATCACTTGATACATTCACACATCTTACTATCAAAGTCGTTTGTTCTTGATGGCTTACATAAGGGGTACAATCAAGGATTACAGAAAAATATTTCTGACTCTTTTATTATTTTTATCATTGAAGTCCGAACACCATGAGATAAAAGATAAATAAGCTCATTTTGAATTTGAGGACCAAGGTAATGTTTGTGAATTTCTTGGCTTTGAATATGTCTAACATGATCTTGCATTACCAAATCAAATTCAGCTATCATTTCAATTAAGCCCAAAAAATTACCATTACTATCATCATAAAGTTTTCCGCTAGATCCACGAAAAGCTAAATTATTTTTAGCTAGACATTTCACAACAGAAACAATTCGAATTAAGACTTGCCTCGAACGCTCTTTTTCCTTTGAAATTGACTTTTGCAAGTCTTTATCAATGCCTTTATTCAATTCTAGTCTCACTCTTGTTTCATACCAAGTGTCACTCTTGTTTCATACCAAGTGTTCATATTAGTCATATGCTCAACACTATTCTCATGTAATTTGTGTTTCTCACCAAGATGTTTCCAATCATTCACACCATCACTTGCTAAAAAAGTTTTGTTATATTGAGATGTGAACAATTTACAATAAAAACAATATACTTTATCAGCTAATTTTGAGTAAACCAACCATTTTCTATCAAAAAGTCTCACCATTACTCAACTTCTTAGTATAATAGGCATATGAAAAATGCCTTAATTTGTTATCAATTGGAAACACAAGGTTCAAATCTCTAATAGGTCCTTTTTATATCAAAATATCCCTTCCTTTAATGTCAAGATTACCCCAACTTTTAAGATCATAAATATCTAAAGGAGGGACTACTTGATCAATGCCAACATCATTAACATCGGATGTATTTGGTACATTAGTTGGTTCATTCATATTAGTCGCATCCTCATTAGGCTCATTTGCCTCATTATCACGATTTTCATTATTTATATTCTCATTAAATTGTTCATGATTTTCATTTTCACCCAATTCATTAGAAGACTCTTCTACTTGTACTACTTTAGTAAAAAAATTGTCAATGACACCCTTTTGAGATTCTATTAACTCTTCTGCCCGTTTTCTTTTTTTTCTCTTATCATTACCAGATAAATATTTTCTAGGTAACATTCTATCAAACAAAGCCAATCATAAATTAATAAGTATAGAAAAGAACAAAAACACCTGATTATTGAAGCAATTGAACAAAAGACTTAGTACGCTCAATTTACACTCCAAACAAATGTCATCTCAAGTAATCAAATCTGAAAAATAGAAAACAATTGAAACAAAAAAATTTAGCTCTCGTCGATGGTCGAAGGACTGAAACAATTAATATATATGACACTATCCTATAAACAAACTCATATACTAAAAACGAAAATGTCCTCGAAGAATATTACGACTCGTATCCACAATCAAGGCCATTCAAGTACTCATCACCTCAAAAACAACATCCTCATCATTTAACACTCTAGATTAAAAAAAAAATTAATTATGAATTTATGATTATTTAGGAATGAAAAAGTACAAAATTAAAAAGTTAAATAAGAAATAAAGAATTAACCTTAGCAATCTAGCATTTTGATGAAATGATGATCCCGTAGGCCGTAGCTTTCGTCGACGGTCGAAGGAGTCCAAGCAAATCAAGCAATCAGGGTCGTAGCAAACTAGCAAATCAAGCAAATAAGCAATTACTCCCACTAGAACAATCAGAGTTAATCAAAATTTTATCAAACGAACAACCGAAATTTTATCAAACAAACCAATTCAACCGAAATTTTATCAATAAGAACAACCGAAATTTTATCAAACGAACCAATTCAACTTCCAACCAATCAATGAATTAGATAATTTTTTCCCCCAATTTAATAATTGAAAGAAATTGTAAAGATTATGAAAACTTAATAGAAAGAAAAGATTTTGATAAATAAAGTAGTATATACAAAGAGGATTATATATAATTAGATAAATTCCCGTTGATAATTAAAGGATAAAATTACCGTTTATCATAATCACGAAGGAGAAGGAATTAATCTGACCGAAAATTGAATTGAGATACATTTTGAAGAACAAAATCACCGACAAAAGGGGATGGAATTGAATTAATGACATTTTTATTTTTGGGTTAATCAAAATTCACTTAGGAAAGTGAATATTTTGGGAGAAATATAAGGGAGGAAGGAGGATGAACCATGAACAGCGAAATTGGCTTTTGGAATTCTTCTGAAAGTCTGAAACTCACGCTTCTTATTTTTTTTCTTTTATTTTTTGTTTTTTTTAAAAAAATAATTTTGGGGCCTTTATTAAATCTGAAGATGGGCTTTTGGTTTGGGGGCCCAGGGCGGTCGCCCCACCTACCCTGGCCTTGCTACGACCCTATTTCTCTCTCCTCTCCTCCTCTCTCTTTCTCTCTCCTCTCCTTCTCTATATGTTTCTCTCTCCTTTTCTCCACCTTCTCCCAGGTTCTTTCTCCTCTTCTCTCTATGTTACTCTCTCTTCTTTCTTTCTCATGTAAAAAGAAACAAAATTTAATGGTCGAATTTCTTTGGGTTCATTTTTTTACATGGTGGCGGTGGCGGAGCATGAACATGTTATGAGGTTCAATTTCATTATGTTGGAGTTCATTTGGTCAAATTCGATCATAAAAATTCCAGATTTGGTATTTGACCATGAAAACCCAAAGAAGAGGAAATTTTCGAAGGTATGTTAAATTTCTTTTGTATTTTTCATTTTTATTATTGTGGTTTTTGTTTATTTTCTGAATTTTTTTTTGGTCTAAATTCATTATTTTTCGTTTATTTTCGTTTGAGGTGTTTGATATTTTAATTTTTCGTTTGGTTTTTTTTTAATTTCGCTTGTATTTCCGTTTTATATTTTATTTTTCGTTTGATTTTCGGTTTTTTCATTCGAGTTTTTTAATTTCCGTTTATTTTCGTTTGAGGTTTTTGTCTTTCGTGAATTTTCTTTTGATTTTTTTGTTTTTCATTTATTTTCATTTCATTTTTTGCGGCTTTTTTATTCGAATTTTGAACTCTTTTTGATAAATTTTGTTTTTTCGTTCATTTTTTTTATTTTTTTTGTGGGTTTTTAATTATTTGATGTACATTTGTATTTCTTGGTTGATTTTGTTATTTTTATGCATTTTGTTCTATATTTTCATTTATCTTTGTTTATTATGTTCGGTTTTTGGTTTGATTTTTAATTTGTTTCTTAGGGTTTAATTATTAGATCTTAATGATTTTTGTTAGGTGAGGGGGTTGTCGGTGGTGGTGGTGGTGCGAAAGGTTGCAGTAGGGGTAAGGGGGCAAGGAGGCCTGGGTAAGGGGGGCAGGGGGAAGGGTTTTTGGTTTTTGGTTTTTTTTTTTTTTTTTTTTTTTTTTTTTTTTTTTTGCGACAGCCATTTGCGATGCCCAGCCGTTGGTAAAATCATTTTTAATGACAGTTTTTGTTTTTGTCGTAACTTACGACGGCTTTACACTATTGTAGACAAATTTCAGCGACTAAATATAAAATTGTCGTTGAAATTAGTAAAATTGTCGTAATAATTCTTTTAAAATTTTACGACAAAGCTGATAGCGACAAATTGTTTACGACAGTTAACTGTCATAACTATTATTTGCGACAAATTTTGGTTGTCGCAAAATAGCTTCTTTCTTGTAGTGCACTTAACGTGCATATATGACAGGCTAAAGTCGTATCACCTAATCAAAAGAAATTAATAAGTCCTCTAACTAAAGCAGATAGGGAAGCAAGGTCGAATCCACAGGAAAACAACGTTCTTATATTCCTAATAAATTAATATAATCTAAATTATCAAGTAATCAATTGTGATTTTATATGAACTATACTAAAAGAAATAATTAAACTAAAGCAATCACTAGAGAAAAAATGTTATTGGTAATGCCTTATTTGTAACCAACAATTTTTTATTAGTTACAAGTACTATATTTGTAACCAACATTAGCTAACGTTGGTTACAAATACATCCTATTTGTAACGGACAACCTAATGTTGGTTACAAATACATCCTATTTGTAACGGACAACATAATGTTAGTTACAAATACATCCTATTTGACAACATATAGTTGGTTACAAATAGGAAGGATATTTTTCTATAATCGTCCAAAGCCCATTATTATTTTCCCTAACCCTAAATACAACTACAACCCCCCCCCCCCCTCTTTCTTTCTCATCTCTATTCTCTCTCCTTCTCCCTTCTCATCTTTCTCTCTCCTCTCAATCTATCCTTCTCCCCTATTTCACTCTTCCTTCATTCCTTCTTTTCTCTCAAATTTCTCTATCCTCCTTCTTTCTCTGTCATCTTTCCCTCAATCTCTTAGCAATTCATTCCTCCACGAGCATCCACGAGAATCCTCAAGTCCACACTGCGCGCCACCCATGTACTTTTATCGTCAACAACCGAGCTTCACCATCAACCCACGAACATATATCCACCGTCAACAACCGTGCACACACCGCTTAACAACTGAGCATCCACTGTCAACCCAAGCCTCCGTTGTCAACCCAAGGTTTTTGATTTTTAGATCTTATTTTCATTTAGATTAGACATTAGATCTAGTTTTGTTTATTTTAAATTTCTAATTGTAATTATTATTATTATTTTTTTATATAATTGCAATTTTAATTTATAATTTTTAGATAATTGTATAATTATTTATTCCTTTCAAATTTTTGGAATTTTTTGTATATAATTTCTGTTAATTTTTGAATTATTTTGTTATTAACACAAATTTGTTGTCTATTAATTTTGTAATATTTGTGTATAATTTTAAGGTTTTGTTATTTTTATGATGGTTTGTTGTTTATGTGAGTTTTGTGGTGGCATTTGGTGTGTATTGGTGGTTTTTGTGGCGGTCGTGGGTGGAGGAGAAGGTGTACGAGTTAGGGTGGTGGGATTCTTATTGTGGCCATCAGTAAAAACATGACTTTCTTGTAGTGGGTGGTGGTGTGGGTCATGGGGTTGGGGCCTGGTGGGTTGTGGTGGTAGTGAGGATGATTTTCGATGTGGGATAGTGTCGTGGTTGGGGTAGTGGGGGTGGCCTGGGTTTGGTTCATATTGTCGGGTTCGGGTTCAGGTTCAACGGGACATCTCAGCTTAGCATTATTTGCTAGGTATTTTTTTTAATATTGAAAATAAGCATTTGTAACTAACAATTGATATGTCCGTTACAAATAGGTTGTCCGTTACAAATAGACACCTATTTGTAATGGACAATTGAAATATCTGTTACAAATAGGTACCTATTTGTAACCAACAATGTCCGTTACAAATGACTGGACTATTTGTAACCCCAGCAGTTGTAACCCCCAATGTTAGTTACAAATAACCCGTTTTTGTTAGTTACAAATAGCATTTTTACTAGTGAATCAAAATTATAAGAATATCAATAAATTAAAGCCTAGGGCATAAGTTCACTAGTAAATAATATATATTTCGGGATGAAGAACAACAATCAATTATCAATGCATGAATTAATCATATTATAAAGGGATTTTTGTTGAAGCTTAAGAGTTTTGATGATGATGAATAAAAGCAAACTTCAACTGATGTGATTTCTCTAAGTGTTTGATTAGAACAGGTGAAGTTGACTTTGGAAGTGGAAGAGTAACCTATCTAAAAAAGAGTCAAGGAGATCTAAAGAAAGTAGAAGAAGAGTTCCTCACTGGAACTAGCTGTGATCCCTAACGGGAACACGAAGAGAAGTTCCCTAACAGGAGCTTGACAGCAAGCTAAGAAGATTAGCTTGGATTGCGTTGAAGACGACAAGTTCCATAAGAACTTGGCTTTCAAGTTCCAGCAAGGAGTTGGAGAATGGAAGACAGCATAAACTTAGTCCTAGTCTGCGTGAAGCCCAAGTATTCTTACGTTACAGCGATTGATGTAATCCAGCTTTAAAATAAAAGTCTTTTGTTAAGTTTATTCTTCTAAGGATTGTTGTAAAAATGTTAAGGTTAGTTTATGCATGAAATTTATTAGAGGCGTAGCAAAGCTTGACAAGCTTTTAAATATGAAAAGTTTATTAAAGATAAGTTTTAATTTTATGAAAAGATTTTTAAGAGATTTTATCTTATAAAATCCGGGTTTTACAAAATATTATTCTTTTCTAAAATTATATCTTTGTTAAGTTTTCCAAAAGATTTTCTTCTAAAAGATTTACTTAAGTGTTGTGATTATGAAAACAGTAGTTTATTAATTTCTATCTTTTGAAAACCCTCTTTACATATGAGTACAACTTGTATATATAGTAAAATTCATAATTTGCACAACTGGTGAGTTTATGCGTGAAAAATCTGAAGAGTGCGAAAAGTGTGAGTTTGCCAAGTCTAAACTTTGTCATATTAGTCTTGGATTTCATGTGTAGCTTTCCTATCACATATTAGAGTCAAAGGTTTGTATTGTTTTGGTACTGTAGACACCTAAAAATGTCTCCCCAAAACCAAACCCGATGATGAACAACCTTTCACCGCCATTATTGGTCAAGTCGAGTAATTAATCTCAAGAGTGCTTAAAACCTATATTCGGTAAGAAATATTCCCACTTCCTATGAGTGCCAAGCATATTCACAACATGCTTACATAGGCGCGCTTCGAATGACGCCTACAATTTGGCGACTCCACTGGGGAGGATTCTTGGTTATTTATCGATTTGAGTGATCGGTATTTAATGAGATGAGTGGATGAGACTTGAAAGATTCTTGAATCGTATTCTTGTGATTAATTTGGCATTTTTGCATATGCATCGACATTTTAACATCGTATTTAGGTTAACCTTGTAGGAAAAATTGAATAACTTGATCGCGATCGAAAAAATAAAAGCACTGCTAAATTTTTATTTCTCACTAGTGGAAAAAAGCTCATTTGTAACGCCTTATTTGTACGGGCACATATATGCCTGTTACAAAAAACTTATTCGTAACGGGCAAAATAATAGTCCGTTATAATAAAGTAGCGTAATGGGTAGGACATATAGTATTTGTAATGGGCAAAATTATACCCGTTACAAAAACTAAGTTGGCAAAGTTTGCCCGTTACAAATACTTTAGTTTTTGTAACAGGCACCTTTTGCCCGATACAAATAACTTTGTCAATGAAATAAAAAACCCTAGTACTCCCTATCTAACTTCACTTCTCATTTTAGCCGCCTACCTCTCCTTCAAACACACTTTCTCTCATCCCTCATCTCCCTCTTCCCTCATCTCCCAACTTCCGTCTCCACCATCGAACGACGTTCCACCACTCTCTCGTAGTCTCGTCTCTTCCATCATCTCTTGTTCATCTTCAAGATCCAATCCCCAAACCCAAAACCCATCTACAATGAATCAAAATCTAATAAAAATGGCTCGATCTCTTTCTCAAACCCTAACTCGACTGCCCAATTCTCTCTCCTCCGCAACATCCACCGATTTTATCAATTTCCAACACCAGTCTAACTCGGTAAAGGTGTTTTCCGGTTAAAAACCTGGCGGCACAAGAGGTGGTGAAGGTCGGGATGAATTAGAGCGTCGTTATCAGCTTCTGTGCTCGGTTTCAGATTTCCGTCGTTTGTTTCACCTTATTCGTCAAATTATCAGCTATTTTTCTAGCTTATTGACTGGTTTTAGGTACGCAATTTATGGTTATGTATGGTACGTTTTGTTAAACATGATATTTTCAGTGTTTTTGCTTGTGTAATTTACCTATTTTCGAGTTTTGCCTTTTTATTTATTATTTATAATTTGCTTAATTTCATATTGCTGTAGGATCTATAATTGATTTTGCATAATTGCAATAATTTTGTTAGAATTTTAAATGAGCATATACTATATGAATCTCGTCATAGGAATAATGCTATTTCTAATAGAGTTGGATTCAATGAACCTTTTTTTTTTTTTTTCCCTTGTGATTGGAGGTAGTTAAATGGATTGGGCCAGGATTTTGATGCTAGATTTTGGTTGAAATTTCCGGTGCTGCGCTATGCCTGTTTCCGATTTTATTTAGTTGTTTTTGAAGTAGGAAAGATTTCAAGGAATTATCTATTTGCATTGTACAATTATTAGTTGTGATTAAGTTACATGATAAGTTTTATGGTAATTACTTTGACAGTGAAGGTAGCTTTTACATGTCACTATGTTTGCTTTTATTACATTCACAAGGACACCATATCTTATCTTTGTCTTCACATTTACAGGTTTTGGTAATTGATTTCCAGCTAAGGATGGTAATGAGATGTAAGTTTCCTATTATTCTGGTGAGTAATCTGATTAAATCCCGTATATATTGAGTTTATGAATTATAACAATACGAGCTTATGAATTATAACAATGCTAAGTATTTCGCTTCATTTATGCTATGGATGAACAATAATTTTCAATGTTGTATTGTTTTTGTAGTGGGCAGCTCTAGCTCTGTTACTCATATTCATATCTGCATTGGGACTTCCTGTTTCAACAGGAGCATACATCTATACATTGATCTTTGTAAGTGATCTTTGTAACTTGCATTTTCCTTGTTAGGTTTGTATAATAAAATATTATTGATGCTTATCTTTGGCCTTTGTATTTAATGAGTATGGTTTAAAAATCCAATATGAAACGAGTATATACCTTCAAGTAACTCTATTTCTTTTTCCCTTTGTGGATTTTCCTATTACTTGCTCTCAATGTATATCTGAGACATTTAGAATTGAAGCAGCCAAGGCTTAAAGCTCACAAGCTGCTTAGATCAGAGTCCCTCCATTTTATTAGTTTTTCAGGGCATTGGATGCTCTAACACTTTGCACATCTTCAAATTTATTTCTATCTATAGAAGCTTATGCTTGTCTCATATTTGTGTTTTTGTGGCTGATTTAGGGTTTGGGTTAGGGTTCTTAATATGCTAATATATGATTTTTGTTTTGATGTTTTAGGAGACAGGAAAGATTGGAATTTTTGTATGTTTCTGGATTAGCTGTTAGGAAACCCACTTCTGATGGATTTCAGGGACTTGGATCTTTGCTTGGTGTTGATAATTTGGCTTCAGCAGCATCACCGACATCGGCATCAGCGGTCATTTCTTAACTTCTTACAATCTGATTGTGGTTTGATTGATTTTATATGTCATGAGATTTGTTTTTTTTTTTGTTTTTTGTTTTTTGTTTTTTTTTTTCTTTTTTTGTTTGTGTCATTGTCTTGGTATACTATTAACAATTGAATTAGTTCAAATGTATGTTAAGGATTTTTGTTGATTGAATAATACATAAGCTACCTAATAGTAGTAACATGCCTCCTATTCACTACATGGGCAACCTACAACCTAGCTAAATATAATATTTAGTGTGACTCGAATTCTGATTTGAGAAGAATTATGGGGTGTAGAGAAAGCCGTTGGCTGCAATTAAGCTGATTCTTGTGATAATCTGGTCTGACTCAGGCATTAAGGTGGAGTAGAGAAAGTTTGGAGACTCATTGTGGGGAAAGGGACGTATAACAGCTCGTATAGGTGTTACTGCCTTACAAACATTCAAATTATTGTGTAAGTAATGCAAATTATTTGCCTAATAAGTTGGATTGTTCAAATCACTATAATTAACATCAATCATAGAAGGTATTGTAACCTCATCCGTGAACCAGAAATTTACTTAATCAAACCACTATACGGGCTGCTATACGTTGCACCCTGAACATATTTTAGTACCTTATATTCTCATGCAATCGTTGTGCGCTAGTTGTGTAAGATGAAGTTGATAAATATATGCCTTTTATAGTGATGTTGCTACTACGACATATGTGTGGTTATTTTTACCTGCCCTGCTTTATTTATACTGCATAATGCATGCTAGTTGATTAGTTGTTAATGCATGGTGATTTTGTTGCAGGTTTCTAAGGCAGCCTCGGAATTGAAATCAAAGTTGCAGCTACTCGGAAAAATGGTGGAAGATGTAAATTATTCAACACTAATTTAGAGTAAAATAATTTAAATCTTATGGTAGTCTTAAGTAAACTTGTTTTATTATTATTATTATTACAATTGAGATTTGCTTTTGCTTTTTCTTTTGCTTTGGTTTATGTTTTAGTTATTAGGTAATAATGAAAGCAGGCTTTTGCTGATTGTATATTAGGTGTATACTATACTTATATAAAATATATATCTCTAATTAATTGATAAAATAATTGTGAAAGCTAGCTGTCCAACATGTGGACTTTTTTTTAAATTGGATCTCACAGTATTTGTAACGGGCAGAATGTGCCTGTTACATATAATCCCGTTATTTGTAACGGGCAAAACAAGTGCTCGTTACGAATAACTACTTATTTGTAACGGGCACTTGTTACTTATTTGTAACGGGCCGTTACAAATAACTACTTATTGTATCGGGCAAGCGCCCGTTACAAATAACATTTGTTATTTGTAACGGCCGCATATGTAACGCCCCTCGCCCGTTATGAATAGGCTGTTTTTGCCCATTATGGATAGCATTTTTTCCACTAGTGTCTGTCGCGCAATGACAAAATTGCCATGACACGGCAGAGAGTACCGCGACGCAACACTCCGTACCGTGGCATGGCAATTCCTGCCATGACACGACAATCTTAAAAATTCAACAGTGCTTCTGTTTTTTCTTGTTAACTTGACGCAGCACTCTGTACCGTGGCATGGCAATTCCTGCCATGGCACGACAATCTTAAAAATTCAACAGTGCTTCTGTTTTTTCTTGTGGTTAACTTGACCATAGGTTGCGAACTTCATTGCATCACTATGACTATGTGCCTTATGTGTGTATATTTGATCGTTTTGATCCTAACCTTAATGACAATTCTTTGTCTATGGTGTTGGTTTATTTCATGACTAACGAATGCCAACGGACCGTACTTAGTAATTAGCACAAACTCTAAAATTGACAATAACCTGAAAAAACGCACAAAGCAAAACCTGGAGTTGATTACCGTGCCATAGCAGTACTACCGCGCCATGAAAATCAGCGCCGTCTTTTTGCCGTGTTAGGCAGTAGTGCCGTTCCACGGTGCCCAAGTTTAAGTTCAGTCAGTCCATATTTAGTCTTCTGTGCTATTTTTGGTCTTCGCGTCAGTCATTTTGATACTGTTTACATGTCTAGCCATGCGATCATACCACGAGTCTTATCACATTACTTTATCACTCACGAGTCAAGTATAGTCCACACATTTTTTTGATTCGAGTCGTGCACCATGTCGTTTATGATCGTACACTAGATTCATGCATGTGTCTCCTTTTTTTCGTCACAATAAAGAATGAGTGGAGTTTTCTTATCTATTTTTTTTTTCTTTTAAAAATAAAATCTCCTCCCTCTTTTTCTTTCCTATTTGGAATGTCGAGTCAAACCATTAAATGAATTTGTTTTATTTCACAGTACTTGGTCAAGAAGCAGGGGTAGATTGGTACGATTCGAGTCACTGCCACAACAACCTCTTATACATAAGAGGCGTACAAGGAAACCGCCACAATCGTCTCCACGAAGTTTATCTCCATCACCATCTCTTGTTTACTTTCAACTCATTCCAATGGCCACTAAGGGAGATGTTGGGTTTCGTAGTGACCCTCACTACGCGGAAAGAAACCCGCCAAGACCCGCCCCCATAATAAATGCAATTAACAAGCAAAACATAATTAAATACAAGAAAGGATAAAAGATTATACCTTTGATGCGTGCTTCGCTCAATAATGAGCTCTTACTTGAACCCCGAAAATACGAGGTCTCCAACGGGATCGTACCCTCGAACCCGACCCGAGCGTCCTAAGTCTCGAAGGTTAGTCGAGACCCAGACAAATAAAACTATGAGTTTTACGAATCAAGGTTTACTTAAATCAAGAGTTGCCTTTTTAATTCCACTCAAGGTTGTGTATTCCCAATACCCATGCCTTTGGTATTTATAGGGAACTGCACCCTTGATTTCCAATCTCCCACCAATGTGGGAGAGTTGGTAAATTCAACAATTTATTTAAATCCAAATTAAATAAATAATTAAATCAATCACAACGCGACAAGTGGCACAATTACATGCAAATGAGTGATGCCCAAGGTTAGGTGGGGGGGGACCATAGCCTTGCTTCCCAAGGCTTTGCTTGGTCCCCACAACCACACACAAACCGGCTTCAAGGTGGGCTATGCTGGCTGCCAGCTAGCGTGCTAGCTAGCGCTGCCAGCTAGCACTAGCCAGAAGCCTTGCATCCCCAGCCAGGCAGTGCGTGTTGGTGCTGGGCGATGCTTGGCGCTTGTGCGTGCTGGTGCTAGGCGCTGGTGCGTGCTAGTGCTAGGCGCTGGCCCTAGCACTCCCACGCATTTCTTCGCACACACTCGCATGCTATGCACATCCATGCCAGCCAGCCCCTAACGCACGCAAGGCCTAGCATGTGTGCTGCTAGCGAGCCATGCATGCTGGGCTTGGTGCTGGGCGATGGTGCACACGCACACGCACACACGCATGTGCCTAGAACTGCGATGGTGCTGTGCGTGGTGTTAGGGCTGCGATGGCGCCTAGGCATGATGCTAGGGCTGCGATGGCGCCTAGGCACTCATGCCTCGCCTAGCACACCATGGTGCGCCTAGCACACACATGGTGCGCCTGGGCTTGCGATGAGCTAGCCTAGCCTAGCTACGGCTATGCTCGTACTTGTCGCTTGTGATTTTGCGACGCTCGGTCTCGACGCCCTAGGCTCGATATTCGACGTCTGTATTCGTAAAACTCCGTTGATTCATTAAATCCTTCGAATTAATTCGTTGTCTCGGATCGGTTGTTCGATTGGGTTCGACCCGAAGGGTTCAGTTAAGATTAAGCTGTAATATTAATTACACCTTAATATTACTGATCGGAAGCGGCCTCCACCTAGGCATTCCGATCACTTGATCTTACTGAAGAATTAGCTCTGTAATAATTCTGAACCCTCTATCAGAATAATACACTTGTTGGAAGGACACCATTCCTTTAGGAGATATTGAGGGCATTCACAAGTCCATCGAGACACTTTCCGCCATGACGCAAATACTCACTACCCAAGTTAATACCATGGAACAAACCAAGGTCACTGTTGCTGCAGTTGACAGGATCAAAGAGCAAGTGAGCAAGATTTCTGAGGACTTCTCCCTATGTGGAATAGCTTGCCACTTCTTTGGCCGTGAAGGACAAACTCCCGGAAAAGTTCTCCACTGCTTATATACCAAAGTTCAAGCCTACTGAAAACCCAATGTTCTATTTGATGGATTTCTCTGCAACTATGGCTCTTAAAGGACTAGATGTAACACTCTTCGGTGTTCCCTCTCTCCTTAGAGCATGCTTGCCAACAATGGTTTTATTCTCTAGATACCAAGCACATTACAACTTGGCAAGATTTCATTGTAAGTTTTATGAATCGTTACAAGTGTAACATTCAAGCTAGAACTTCTAAACGTGATCTCTCTATTCTCAAACAGAAAGAGAATGAAGGCTTCATCGCTAATCTAAACAGGTGGAGGGAAATAGCTGCACTCTTGGTGGATCCTCTTAAAGAAAAGGAGATAGTTCGTCTCTTTATCCAAAATTTGACTCACAAGTACAGGCAACATCTCAAATTCTTTCCATTGAACACTTTTGAAGATGTATACGATATTGGCATCAATATTGAGGACGAGCTAATAAAGAATGCTGGTAGTAATAACAACAATAATACTTGGAAAAACAAGAAGAACGACCTTCCTTCTTCTTCGTCTTCTAAGCCCGAAAATACTACCAACAATGTAAGCCAGGTTGATCTCAATGAATTCTTAGCTCTTGATGTTCCATTGCCCAAGAAAAGGAGAACTTACACTCCTTTGGGAATAACTTATGATGTTGCTTTTGATCGCCTTTACAGTCAAGGTTTGATCACACCTATTGGGCCATTTCTAGAGTTGAAACCTGAAGAATGGAGTGCCAAATTGAACCCTAATGCTCACTGCAAGTTCCACCAAGGAAGAGGTCACTCTACAGAACAGTGTTGGAATCTGAAAGATGCCATTCAAGATTTGGTTGATGCTAACAAACTTCATGTCCCTCCAGGCGGCAAGAAGTAGTGAAGACAAGGCGCACGACGAGTCCTTCTGCAAGATCTCATGATTACTTTCTTTATTCATTTCCTTTTTCCCCATTTTTGTCCAGCATCATTCTGAATTTCTATATGTTGCTATATGTTTGTTCACCTTTTCCATAAATTAAATGAGCATATTTCCTATACATCTCGATCATGTCATTTTTGCATTAGTAAAAAAAAAAAAAAAAAAAAAAAAATCAATTGCCGAACCAAACACAAGGTACACCAATGACTTAAGGCACCTTTGCAACCCATTCGTTCCCCTTAAACCATTCAAACATATATCCCATTTCTTCACTAACCACTTTTAGCTTCGTCTAACGATTGACTTTTATTTCTTCAACCCATATTAACCTAACTTTGGGATGGGAAGATGTGTGATTTGTGTAACACTCAAAAGCAAGTTAAAAAAAAAGAAGAATGATAAAAAAATAAAACAATGGCTAAGGGCAAGTGTTTCAATGTCTTTGATATGAACATGTCTCGAATTCGTCTCTTATTGAGTACTTGGCACCGTAACTGAGAAACATGAATGCTAAGTGAGTGATGCACCGCATGATCTGAGATTGCTCACATTAATTAAAAAGAAAAAGTTCAAAGCCAAAAAAATAAAATAAAAAAAGCGAAAACATATAAAGCTTGCAAAAACTTCAATACAAAAAAGCGAAAACATATAAAACTTGCAAAAACTTCAAGTCCCTAATCGTGTCCCTAATTGTATGTCAATTCCCACTTTCTATGAGTGCGGTACAACTTGCTCCCAATAATACGGGGAGTGTAACATTCAATCTAAAACTTCTGAACGTGAACTCTCCATTCTCAAATAGAAAGAGAATGAAGGCTTCACCGCTTATCTGAACAGGTGGAGGGAAACAGCTGCACTCTTGGTGGATCCTCCCAAATAAAAGGAGATGGTTCGTCTCTTTATCCACAATTTGACTCACAAGTACAGGCAACATCTCAAATTTTTGCCACTGAACACTTTTGAAGTTGTATACGATATTGGCATCAATATTGAGGATGAGCTAATAAAGACTGCTGGTAGTAATAACAATAATAACACTTGGAAAAACAAGAAGAACGACCTTCT